AGACAAGTCCCCAAAATATTTGTCCATACTTTTTCAAATTTAGGTGAATGGCCTACTGTTTTTAATAATTATTAATTATTTTACTTTTCCAGTTTTATCCCTTTCATTTTCCCTTCTAATTCACGTTAATATATATATATATATATGTTTTTATCAAATTTGTTGTCCCAGCCATTCAATCAAGTTCTATGATTTGTAAATATTAAATGGGTTTATAGTTGTCTAGAATTGAATGGCCGCTGGAAGGAAGGGGAGTTGCAGCGTAGGAAAAGAATCAACGGTGTTTTTGTACTTACAAATCTACTAACTACTAATCCGGCAACTTGCCTCATTTAAAAAAACTGCGGTCATTTACTTAAAGAAATAACTTAAAACCGGTTATTCTTGCACTAATCCCAATTTTTGGCATGGAAAATGTTGATGTGGAATCTTAATTATTAGCCGCATCAACTAATAGCGCCCAACAAATTATTGAACATTCGAATTGACAACAAATATTGTAATAGCATAACGATCTATTTCCAATGGCGAATGATATTTAAATTTGCTAGAATAAAAAAATATTCAAATTTAAGGATGCCTAAGAAAGATAATTGTGCAAAATAATAAAGTATTTAAAATACCCTACCAAAAAGTTTTTGTCCTTGTTTTTAATTTACTGATTCAAATTTTTAATTTAAATTAAAATATAATTTTATATTATAGTTTTTAATTATAACAAAAAAAATTAAATATAATTTTTTTAAAAATTTTTAACTATAAAAAAATTAAAATTAAAAATTTAAATCAGCAAAATGAAAGGATGTTTGGTAGAAGGATTCGTTCCCTGATTCAAATCATGATTCATGACTCGCTACAGTATTTACTCTCACAAAAAATTCACGTAAATCGAAAATAATTCAAATCACATGGTTTGAATCCTCCAACCAAACGTCCTATAAACAATTCACAACACAAACAGAATTGCCAGCCTTACAAAGGATTCTTTCTAACATGTTTCCACCAAATTCTCTGTTGATTTCTGTGCTGCGTAAGGTTTAGGTACTCTGGTTTTTTTTCTGTTTTTTTTTTTTTTTTGGTTTTTGTATCAGTCACGTCACCCCCAACAGCAGTTGGGACACATTCATGCTGGGCATCTGACATCCTGTAATTTTTGCGTTATCTTGAAAAAGAAAAATAGGAAAATCGTGATGTTTTACATTTATTTCTATTTTTGTACATTTTTTTGCTGAATTTTTATTTTTGTATATTTATTGCTCGAAAGGAATTGTATTAATTGAGAAGTACATGAATAAAATATCTATAATTCACATTTAAAAGCACACATTTTCTTTTGTGTAAGAAGATTCATATATACATTTAAAAGCACAGTTACAGACTCATAAATGTCATTATACCAATTAGTGTCGCAACATTTAAGGAAATAAGAGAGGATAATGTTGTACTAATATGTTGTGTACTAAATATTATTCGTTCCAAATCTTAAAAGATATTATTTTCTCTCCTTATCCTCATCTCCGATTCTTTATAAAGATTGCAGATGTTTTATCATCAGTTTGTTTATAGGTTCTAACTATTGTTCAAAGCTTTTTGTTATAGTATTTTTTTCATAAAATTTAAATTTATATTTAAATTTTTGTGCTTAAACCTATGAATCAAACGAACAATAATTTGTCTATTTTTATTTTAAGGAACTTCTATAGTAGGATCCTTTTTTAATTAGTAGAAATTATTATTTTAACCATCAAATTAAGCTTTTAATGATATAATTTGTGAGTGTTCTGATACAAAATTTACAACTTGCAACATATAATTACCCTAATTATTAATAAACTGTTGAAAACTTAATTCAATTATTACAATAATAGTTTCTATTAGTAATTAAAAAGACAAATCTTACTGTAGATATTCCCTTAAAAAAATTCCTACGGTAAAATTTTTAAAACAAAAGGTTATTATGCAGCTTCTTTTTTTTTTTTTTTTTGTCTTTTCTGATTTTTAATTTGCTCACTTTCTTTTTCTTGAAAGTTCAAAATTGGTTGTTTGGTCAAAATGTCAAATGTCAATGCTGAAGTATTAATTTAAAAAGAAATTCTGTAAACAATAGAATACAAACTTCAAGGGAATTTTTTATTATTATTTTAAACTTGCGAAGGAAATAAAACATCAAAAGTCAAAACAGACTGGCTTGAGAGTTGAGATCAAGCCTAATATCATTTTTCCTACTAAGAAATAGTAAAGCCAAATGGAGAAGAAATGATACCAGAATCTCGACTAGTTGACTTTGTAGATCTGTGGTCCAATGCAAAGAAGTTGGTCTAAAGGTAAGGAAAACTAACTAAAATTCGAGAGAGCCCTCTCATTAGAAATTCCCGTTCACTTCGCTGATTCGAATTTGTAATTCGAGTTGAGATGTGATTTTATGTGAGAGTTTTTTACTGTAGCAAAAAAGTTAGATGTGACTGTTTCTGAGAGCTTTTTACTGTAGTAAAACTCGAATTCTAAACTCGAATTGGTGAAATGAACGAGATCTTATATTACCCAAGAATTTTGCTGATAGAATAAGAAAAAATAAACTATCGATAATTTTTATTTTTAATTATTAAATCTGTATTAAAAATTAATTGTTATGCGTATTTTTTTAATCTGATATAATTTTAATTAAATATAATAGTTAGAAACAGACTCTATAAGTAGAGAAGTTATATCAGAGAAATTACTTATTTTACCCTATTAGTAAAAACTATTATTTTAAATATTGAATTAGCCATCAGTCTAATTTGTATGTTCGCACAAAATTTATAAGACGCGATGTAGAGTTGTTCTCTTCACAAATTATAGAACTTAAAATTAACCTAATGATTAAAATAATAGCTCTTACTAATAAAATAAATTAACAGATCTTATCATAAAAGGTCCTCAAAACTTTAATATAAAAAAAATTAATGAAAAAGCGCCTGTGCTAGCACAAATAATGCCAACTTGTCAACTTCACAGTTTATACTCGTCCGTTTATATTTTTAAATTGGAAGAGAATATACTCATATCGAATTCCTACTTAATTAAAGTCTTAAACGAAGTATATTCTCTTCCATCAACAAGAGTCGAGAGAAGAGAAAGCCCAACTACAATTCCTTATAAGAAATTGTCAATTAGCATTTAGACAATGAAAAGAGAAATGTCCAATATTTATATGTAAAATATTCAAATAACTCGTAGTAACATTCATATCCTTTATGAAACTACCTTAAAATTCGTAATACAAATTCATAACCACGCATATAAAACGGGTACATGCATAATGATATTTTCTCTATAACTAAAAAGTAGATAGATTGATAATATTACTAAATTAAAAATATATTGCAGTTTAAAAATTATCATTTGTGTAATTATTTCTTAGTTTTCCTCTAAAGATAGCATTGCACATGTCAATTATCCCAAAAAACAAAACAAAACAAAACAGGCAGAAGGACATTCGTGTAATTGGAAGTAGTGCCCTCACTCATATTTTGTAATTTTAGGTCATGTTTGGAATTAATCCTGTGTTTATTTTTCACGTTTTTTGAGAAAAAAATGAAAACAATTTCAAAACGACATTTGGCGCAATAAAAACAAAAAACAGAAATGAAAATAATTTTTTAATTTAATGTAAAATGAGAGAGAAATGAAAAACGACTTTTAGTCGTTTTTCATTTTTTATTTTCGTTTTCTCATCTCTTGAGCAGAGAGAGAAAGAGAGACATTAATGAGTTTTTTTATACTGAAAATAATCTCTTGATAAAACTACCAAATACATTTTTAAAAATGATTTCTATAAGCGCAGTCTTTGGTTGCAGCGTGAAGGGGCCTCAAGCAAGTGCTCATTGGTGGAAAGACCGAGCAGCTCTCCCTCCTAACTTCTCATCTGCATCAGTCGAGCTCTTTCAGAACCTGCCTTGTTTCGGCCAAGCCGCTCCTGAAGACCTCTTTTACCCTTCAACTGTCCAAGCTTTTAGTCTGTAGCTTATAGCTTTTTTAAGGAGGAGGAAATCTGTCTTTAAAGACAAAAAGAAAAATATTTAAGAGGATCATCCGTATATGTTTTTTTTTACGGAACAAACTTGACTAGTAAGGGAAAAGCCCTTTACTAAACTAAGAAAATATACAAGGTTTTTCACTTGTTCGTCAAGCTTTCAAACAGCTCAACGTTTTCATTTTCATATAAAAAAATTAAACGAGTTCCAAACGCACCCTTAGTTTTTACCCTCAATTTTTATGTAAAATTGTAGTTGTATTCCAACTAATTTTAGTTGCTCTCTTATTTAGTAAGAAAAATTATAACCATGTCCTCACTTAATAGTTGAAATATATAATTATATCTATAAAAATAATTAAATTCTCCAATTTTTTTATAACACCGCCACTAAAAATATTTTCTGCCACCGCCACTACAAGCAAGTGCACCTGCACCCGTTGGACAGCCTAACCTTAATCCCAAATTTGGATTGGCTAACAATGAAAGTTTGTGTGCAATCCTACTCTCTTCAAAATGGGGGACGCAAGAGTCCCTGAGATTTATTCACACATTGCTTTTTTTTTTTTTTAAATTTTGTAAAGGCTTCATGCACTCTGATATTGTTAGGAAATTGTATCAATTTACATTCAAACAAAAATATACATATTTCTGCTTTATAGCAAAACGTATTGGAATTAGGTTTTAAAATTTATGATCTCTTGTAAAACTCACGATGTTATGTATAATATTTTTTAATTAGAAACATACTGAATGGTCAGTGAACAATTTTGGAGGATCAAGTACTTCCAATCAAACCATCTTTCTGCTCTGTTTTTCAAAATAGGCCTGTATTTCCACCGTTATTTTATAATGAAAAATCCCCTTTTTTTTTCCTTCAAACACAATCTTATGCAAATGGAAGTAAAACGGTTAAGCCAGCTAGGATATATGTAAAACTCCATATAGAATAAATATACAGGTTCATTCATTAAAACACAAAATATACTTCACGTTCATGATCCAACCATTATCATATAGATAAGCAACGTTCAACACCAGTAAAGCCAGATAAACAACACATCATGCGGGCGATTACAACATGCTAAGTTTGATAATTTATTGTTCCTACAGATTCCGGGAAAATAGAAAAAGGGCGTAAGAATGCTTCCTAAGATGCAACCGAACCTGCCTGAATACTAGTTATAACATTTTTGCGAGTCTAATAATGACGGCTTCACAACGCACCTGAGCTTGGTGCAGGCACTGAACTTGGATCTATTACTTGGAAAAAGAGAGAAAAAAGAAGACTTCACAACTGAAATATCTACTTCTTTGGTCAAACTGCAATCGCTACTTAGCATCTACTAATCTGAAATAATCTGTACGCTTGGTGGGAACGAGAACTTGTGCTCACCAAACAATGGAAGCCTGCAGCAGATTACAAATGATAATTAGAGAACAAGTCCATGAAATTTGTCAAATTGCATTTCAAACTAGAAGAAAGCCATTCCCATCCGCGGGCAATAACCGTGTGTGTGGAAGTATGGTTACTGTTAGTTTACTTTTACCATCAATCCCAAAAGCTTAAGCTATTAGGTGGGAGAGAGAGAGAGAGAGAGAGAGAGAGAGAGAGAGAGAACACAAAATAAATCATGTTTTGTCACAAAATAAATTTTCAGGTATTTACTTTACAACCACGTTGGAATATCTTCGTATTGAAGCCATAGGCTATAACTAATATTAGTAGCCAAACCACCAAGACAGAGGGCGAAAAAACCTAATTTAGACAGTAAAGAAATGGCCAAAGCAAGATACCTATTTTGTGAACACACTCATGAGATCATTCGAAGGAAATTGCCGAAATACTGGGGTGCCTAGTTTTGCATTATCACCGAAATCCATACTAGGCTCCTGCTTCACCAGGTTACCATTGCTCTCTGAATGTACTTTTCCTGGATTCAGGTTGCTCATTGGTGATTCATATTCATCCACAGCAAATCGGCTAGGAATGAATGTCCCTTTACCAACAAAACCAAGATTTTTCAGTGGTCCCTGATCAAGAATTTCACCTGATTTAGCACTATATGAACCCTGAATGTCAACTATGTTAGGTCCAATTCCTGGCAATTGTCTGGCATCACCAACAAAAGTAGCAGCTGAATTCTGGAGGCCAGTACTATTATCTGCATTTAACGAGCAAGATGACAGAGTAGAGGAGGAACCGGGTGCCGAATACCCACAAACAACACCACTAGTTTTAGCATCTCCATTTGAGATATGTCCAACATTCAAAGCGGAATTATTTGATTGAGGTGAGAGAATACTGTAATCGATAACAGAATTCCTATTAAAACTGCTATTCTGGTTCACAGAAGCAGGGCTACCAGCCTGGAAACTGGCTGATGATTGAGAAGGGACTACAAGGCAAGAGGGTTGCACATTAATCGAACGGCTAGGCTCAGGAAGCACAGACTGCTGCTGCAATGGTGGTTGTTTTTGTTGCTGTTGCCGTTGCTGCTGCAATATGTCCATCAATAAGTTGCTATTAGGATTAGACGCCCCTCCAACATTATTACTGGGTCCTACTGTTCCAAGGCTGTTTGTCGTCCATGCTCCATATCTTGAAGAAACATCTTCAACAGAAAAAATAGACTGTGGAAACTGTTTATAAATGTTGGATTGACCCTTTACCAAGGGCTGGCCAAATGTTAAACAATGTTCAACAGGTAAACGCTTCGGTCCCTGCAGTGATGCATGCAGAAGAGCAGGCTGGTCCATTGCTGGCACTAGATTTCCAGCTGGTCGGCCTAAAAGTTCAGCATGCAAGGCAGCTAGCGTTTGTGGGGGAATTTGGCCAGACGCAGCCAAAGCTTGAATGTCAAATCTACCACGAGAACCCAATTTGACATTTGATTCCACAGACCCACAGAAGGTACCTGAAATTCCACTTTGTTGCTGAGGTACTCCTCCACTTAATCTCTTCAAATATAACCTGAACTTCTGAAATTTTATATTTTGTTAGTGTACAATTAATTAAACTAACAAAAGTATCAACGTCCTTGTGCACTAAATTAAAAGTAGAACCTGCATTGAGAGCACTCATTAGTCCGATAAGCAAATCTAAACTGGCACAAGCTCGTTTAGTAATCAAATCTAGTTCCAGCTATTATCTAAAATTTAACTTAAGAAGAAGGTGAAAGTTCATGTTGAACTCCAGTTCCAGTATAAGGATAAAGAGCCAAACCTGAATGGACATTATTTGATCCAAACATGATTCATTACAAACCATACAATTAGATTTGAACACCTATCCATACATCTTGCCTTTACTAATCATTGTGTCTTATTTTAAATCATTGTGTCTTATTTTACTCCCCTGAGTATTCGATTCATCAACATTTTTCCCTCTTGTGTTCAGATTTGTACTGCCTCAATGATGATGCTATTAAAGAAACGAAAAAAATCGATCAAAGAAAACAAACCTGCAAATGACTTGCAACATTTTCTCTAGTCAAACCAGGTACATTCATCAATTCAAGAATTCTCTTTGGTACAGCCTCTGTAATGGAAGCCAAGAAGTTGAAATCAACACAAAGTATAAACTATCACAGAATATGCAAATGTTGTAGCCCATCCCCATCAAAACTAATGGACAAAAAGCATAAGGTAAAAATGGAAAAGATCATACTATCAAGCCCGAGTTGATTTACAGCACTGACAAATTGCTGGTGGAGCTCAACTGACCACACTACACGCGGTTTCTTTGATGTGGACGGATCATCATTTTCGAGTTCACCATCATCCTCTTCCTTATAATTGCTTCTCTTTTTCTGACCTTTCAATCCTTCTGTCTCTTCATTAACAGAAGAAGCATATTCTGTGTCCTCATTTACACGTTTAGGACGATCATTGTCTTCCATGCTCCCTGAATGTTCAAAATCCCTATTCTCATTCCACTTTTTCCTCACAACATGCTGCCATATATTCTTGAGCTCTTCCTCACGTATAGGTTTAATCAAATAATCACAAGCACCGTGTTTAATTCCTCTCATCACGGCCCTCGTTCTCCCATCAGCTGACATCACTACAAATCATAACTGCACATTAATATCTCGATATTATAACAGATAACAAATTGCAGCATACAAGACACTTACTGATAACAGGAAGGTCCATTTCCAGACCAACAAGTTCAAGGAGTTTATATCCGTCCATATCAGGCATATGAACGTCACTCAATACCACATCAAAACCACCTTTTTTCTCACGTAAAAGTTTCAAGGCAACAGTAGCTTGGGAGCAAGTAGTAACTGCAAAAGAAGAAAGGCGAGTCAACCAAGCATGCTGGGTAAAAAGGTTTTTGATTTTTCCTCTAGTTATGAGAGGATCTGAAAGTAAAGAAACAAAGCTTTGCAATAAATTTTACACTCAATCTACTGAATAACCTTTAGAAATTCTAGAAAGATCCAAAGAGGCTTTCATTTGATACACCCTTTTTTTTTTTTTTTGGTGCTTGATGAGAACATCTTCGATGCGTTTATGCTAAAAAGCATAGTCTTAAACTCAAAAGACATTTAGACATCTTTTTCCTCAAAAATACAAAACAAACTTTTACCACTAAAAAATCAAACTAAGCATGTCATGAGCAGCCAAACAGTACCGTAGGAAAAAAGTCATCAATGGTTTAGTAATCTTCAGAGAAGAGAAAAGAAACTAGAGAACTATTTCATCCAAGATCACAGTAGCAAAACTGAACTTCTTACAGAATAACAAATTACTGTGAGGTGATTCATTGACAGACAAGAAAATTTTATCACAAATTACTTCAAACCATGACTATTCCTTCAACAGCCACATCAATATATAGTTAGTTTAATCATGTAGCATGATTACCAAGCAAACAAAATTGATGGAAATAAATGGGAGCCACAAATTGAAATTGATACAATATTTAAACAGGCTAAAGACTCCAATCATCAAATTTTAACTTTCTTATTTAGTCTGTGTAGCCAATATTTATTCATATTTCATTATACGTCTATACGTATCCGTACTCAGAAGTTCGGACCCCAAAAACACCGAAACGCTTTGCTCACATGAAGAATCTTGTCTAATACCCTTATAATGCATCTACGCACAACATATCAGAGTAACGCACAGGCACATGTACATGTACAAACACAGGAAAAATCCTATCAAACGACCAAATTTGACTTAATTTTACTGTCTAGCTGATTAACAAAATGACTTGTGTGTCAAGAAACAAAGAAAAATAAATTCACTCTCTCTACAGAGACTTCAGATTCTCGATGCCACTACGCTCAAATCCCCAAAAAATAAATAACAATACTACTAGCAATAATAACGAAATCCACGGGCAGATTATACCAATGACACTCCATAAGGAAACTAGAATGCTACTTTTCCGTAATATCAGAGGAAAGCAAGAAGCAGGCTCCGAACAAACCGTGATAGAGACACCGGCGAAGCATCTGTTCGACGATCCTGAGGCAAGTAGTGTCATCATCCACGACCAGAACCTTCAAGCCCACGGGGAACTGATCGGAGACCACCTTTTCACCGCCGAGGAAATTGCCGACAGCGGCGGACGAACCGAGGACAGCTTTACCCGACGCTGCGTAGCTACTCCCAGCCGTGCTTACGCTCGACTGCGCCACTCTCTGCAGAGCCGCCATGGCCGGAAACTCGAAGAGCTCCTCCACCGCAACCAAAAGCCCTAATTATCACCGAAGAAGAAAAGAGCAGAAAGATTCACCATTTCAAGGCCGAATTGAGCTCAGATCCGCCGAACAAAACCTCACGATTGAAATCAGAGAAAAACCGTGAAAATCCAGAGAGAAAACTCGAGGTTTTCGTCGGAGCAGATCTCCGAGAGATTGGAAGGAAATGATTGAATTTCGAAGTTCTGGAGAAGGAGAAGTTGGAACTGAGGAGAGAAAAAGTAGAGAGAGAAAGGGAAAGA